AGTGGGAATTCCAAATAGGACCTTGTGAAGGAATCCACATGGGAGATCATCTCTGGGTGGCCCGTTTCATCTTGCATCGCGTTTGTGAAGACTTTGGAGTGATAGCTACCTTTGATCCCAAGCCCATTCCTGGAAACTGGAATGGTGCCGGCTGCCACACCAACTTTAGTACCAAGGCCATGAGGGAGGAGAATGGTCTGAAGTGAGTGTCTGCTGTGGGGGTCATGTTTATTCTCAAGTGAAAAAGGCTTGGGAAGGGAATATCAATCTCTTTACGTCTCTTTTTGTTTTGCCAAGTATTTGTATAGGGGACAGGTGAGCTGAACTTCAGGCTACAAATGCCTTAGCTCTTGACAATTGGCTTATTTTTTTCTAATTCTGTCGTTTTGTTCTCATTTAGAAAGTACCAAATAATACTCAAGGAATAGAATTAAAGATGGTGATAGGGAAAGTTTAAAAATATTTAATAAGAACTAATTTAGTAACAGTACAGGCACATAGATTGGTGCTTATGGGTGGGAGAAAGTCTTTCAGCACATAATGCCTTGGTGCTACATGTCAGGCATTCTGAGCACTGGGGTACATAGTAACAAGGCGGTCACTGGTGTGAGTCATGGAGTATTGGTTGTGCTGGTGAACGTCAGTCCTGGATGTCTACCTGTTCTTGTCCTTGAAGGGAGGATTTTTTTGGTGATAAGGTTAACCCTCATCTTGTGGTTTGTTTTTGATTTTTATTTTTTTAGGTACATTGAGGAGGCCATTGAGAAACTAAGCAAGCGGCACCAGTACCACATTCGTGCCTATGATCCCAAGGGGGGCCTGGACAATGCCCGGCGCCTAACTGGATTCCACGAAACCTCCAACATCAACGACTTTTCTGCTGGCGTGGCCAACCGTAGTGCCAGCATCCGCATTCCCCGGACTGTCGGCCAGGAGAGGAGGGGTTACTTTGAAGACCGTCGCCCCTCTGCCAACTGTGACCCCTATTCAGTGACAGAAGCCCTCATCCGCACGTGTCTTCTCAATGAAACCGGAGATGAACCCTTCCAATACAAAAACTAAATGGACTAGACCTCAGCCGTCAAGCCCCTCCTAGTTCTGCCTCCCACTCCAACTCTTCACCCTCTGTGTTGTCCCGCTTGTCCCGATTGTAACTCAAAGGGTGGAATATCAAGGTCTTTTTTTATTCCTCATGCCCAGTTAATCTTSCTTCCTTTGGCCAGGATAGAGGTGTTACGTTTTTAATCTCTTCACCCCCAGCCCCCTTTTCTTGACAGTGAGGCTTTTTTTTAATGCGCTAATGGGAAGGGGTGCCTATCAGGCATGGCTGTGGGATGCAGCATGTTCTGGGGGAGCAGGGAGGTACATTTTCTTCAAGGTTGCTGAAAGAGGAGGCCTGGTGAGGTTAGGTTAGAATTCCCCTTTGTGTGGAAAGCTCTATTTCTTAAGCTATAACTATAGAGAAGGTGGGGTGGCCCTCAGCGAGGGAAATGCCCTGGTCTCCTACTGCAGCACTTCCCTTGCTTGGGGCTGCATTCCCTTCCGTGGACACAAAGCTGGGTAAACTGATAGAAAGCCCTGTCTTAAAGAAAAAGATCTTAGTGCTTGGTCCTTCATTTATAACACAAAGCAGAGTAGTATTTTTATATTTAAATATAAAAACAAAAAAATTATGGGTGTGTGGGTATGTGTTTTTCTAAGGGAGGAAACCATCCTGGTCACTGGGTGCTAAATTTGAAGCAAATACTTTGGTTTAGAAATTAAAGAGATCCTTTGGAGCAGGGGTGGGGAGTGTGGTACTGGGAAAGTTGGTTACTAGGGGCGCTTAGTCTTCATTATCACTTAAGGGTTGCCCTGCCCTGTTCACCCTTCTTAAGGAGGTGGACCCTGGACGGCTGCCAGGTGAATGACATTACTGGTGGTCACCTGAGCCCAGTGGCGAGGTTTAAGACCCACATAATTGTCCATGGGTTTCTGGGAGCGAGTTGGCTGGCCCACATGAGAGCGTTCCTGCAGAAAGCATTGGGTTATTTTTTGGTGAAACTAGCATGTCACTAAAGCAGGCCTTTTGATACATTAAATTTTTTAAAAGCAAAACAGAAGTTTAGATTTTAATCAAATTTGTAGGATTTCTAAGTCTAATTTTTCAAAATTGTCTGCTTCAACCATCTCTTTCCACTCTCCTCTTGGAGGAGTTGGGGACAGGGCTGGAGTGAAAATACTTGTAATGTTGTATCCTAGTGTCTTTCCTCCCAGTGCAGAATATTCCTTTCTTAAGATTCCTAAGGAGTTATTCCTTTTTTCTTTTATAATAAACAAGCCCCCTCTCCATTTCCCCTACTGTTCCCTGGTTTTTGTGCTGGCCACAGCAGGCCAGCTGTGGTTTTCTCTTGCCATGACAACTTCTAATTGCCGTGTACAGTATGTTAGAATTAGATAACTTCTTGTTGTAAACAAACTGTAACTGTCCAGAGCAGCGCTTATAAATCAACCTAACATAAGATCTCTTCTGACTTGTTTCTTTGTGGTTGTTTAAAAAAAAAAAAAAATTATGTGCCATTTCATTTCTGTATTTCCTAACAAAAAAAGGGAGAGTGTTTTGTTTTTGGAGGCAAACTAAGCTCAGGTCTCTCAGCTCTTTGAATTTTTAAAACTGTGGAGTCACATTGATGATGAGCTTTTTCCTTGTGCCTCTGACTTGGGATATTTGGGATCCCAGGGGTTGTCCTCACTGGGACCRTTGGGTCACACCACGTTGACATTTCCTAGCCTTCCACTTCTCCCCTTTCTGTGAGCCAGAGTTAGGTTTTGACTAGCACTGCTGTGACATGGTTTCCAACAGTCCTGGCTTATTTTAAAATAACAGCTTAAAGTATTTAATGTGTGATTAACTGGTTATATTAGTCCTGTTCTTCCCGTATTCATTCTCTGCCCAGCTGCCAGTGATTAAATAGCAAACACTGACCATGTTGCTACCCTGGACAAAATCGTCCAAGGCTGGCATAAACTTGTCCTTAGTTCTTACCCAAGGTGCACTCAGCAGGCTCCACATTGATGCCTCTGTGTCCTTGTTCTTGGTCCCTGGAGGTTCCACTTATTCTGGCCTATTCCTACTTTAGTGTGTTCCTTACTTARTTGGATCGAAGCAACCTCCTCCTCCCATGGTGCTGAGCACACATCTCTGACAAAAAACAGCTATCTAACATGAGTTCAAACATGCAGTACTGTTGAGACTGGTGGGCAGAGTGATTGTTTTTAAAGTGGTTGGTGCGTGCTATCAGTTCAGAGGCAGCTGGGGCCTGTTAAATGACAGTTGTTAGAGATGACAATTTTCTTCATGCAAGTGTCTCTTGTTCTAGCCTTGTATAATCCTAGGTATGCATGACTTCCTAGGAACATTGACCCATAATGACATAATTTTCAAGTAGGGGCATCCTACCTAGTGATTTGCTGAGTGTGGTCTTGGTTTACACCTATTGCTCTAGCGTGATTGTGTGCCCTCTCAGCACTTTTCCTGGTTTGATGTTTATGCAGTTAGTCTCATTTCAACTGAGCCTCTACTTCTACTTCCCCAACCTGATTGCTTCCCTTCACTGGGTCACTCCTACAAGTAGAAGAGGCAATGGCCAGCCCCAGCACAGTGGGTTTTTGTTCATTGTAATCAATTCACAGACAAGATCACATGAAATCTGTTTATGGTAAAATCAGAATTTAGGTGGAAACATTTTCTTCTTGACTCTCAGCTAGAATTGGTTTTGATCTACAGGTCACAGTGCAATTCCCTTGTGTTTCTAAGCTGTTTCTTATAGCTCATTTAGCAGACACCAAGTTACATGGTAACTTTTATCAGTGATAGATTAAACAGGTTGATGAGACAGATTAAACAACATGGCCCATGCCTTCAGCCTTAAAGATACAGACCAGTGTTCACCAAAGGTTCTCCATATACCCCATAAACATGAGTTCCCTGAATTATCTTTCCAATTAAATAAAAGCTAATAGAGGAGTCTTAAGGAATTCCTTTGATAGATGCTTTCTAGGGCCGTTTTAAAAGATCTATATTATTGCTGACAGAATGCTATATTAATGGTTAAAAGTTCTTGAACCACTGCTTCCTGCTGGGGCTCCAAATAGCTCATAGCTAACTCCAGCTACTGGTCCATCCTTATACCAATAAGGTGCAATGTCTAGAAAGCAGCTTGTTGTCCCAAAGAAAGCAGAAGTCCCATCAGTCAACAGGACTTTTCAATTGTAAACCATGAGCTGGGCATGGTGACACACGCCTGTAATCCCAGTAACTACTGAGGCTGAGGCAGGAGGATCACAAGTTAGAAGCCAGCTTCAGCAACTTAGCAAGGCCCTAACCAATTTAGTGAGGCCCTGTCTCAAAATAAAGAGGGCAGAGGATGTAGCTGGGCTTAATCCATAAAACCAAAATAAATAAAAGGCAACTATAATAAACTATGAATTCAGTGATTCTGCTTTTCTTCTTACCACTATATTCCCAGACCTATCTCATTGCCAGCATTACTTGTTTAAAGAGTTGTTTGATTGTTGGTACTGGGGATTGAACTGAGGGGCACTTAATCACTGAGCCACATCCCCAGTCCTCTTTACTTTTTATTTTGAGACAGAGTCTTGCTGAGGATGGTCTTGATCCTGTGATCCTCTTGAGTCTCTGGGATTACAGGTGTGCACCACTGAGCTATTAAGCATCAGTTTTCTGAGCTTTAAGCCTACAGCTCTACTTACTAGATGTTGTCAAACCTGTAAAGTCTGGATTGCTATAACTCCAGCAGTGGCACTAAGGTGAAGTTTTCTGTTACTGAGTTTAAAAATAATTGAACCATGTTCAATTATTGTTGTTTTTCACTACAAAACACAGCCCCACAAAAGCTTCTGAAGTGTGAAATGGGAAAGAACCAGTGCTTGCTCTGTTAATTCTGTTTGGAATCGGGCTGCCAAGAGCCTCATGTTGCTTTATGTTATAACTAATATAAAGTGGCAATTCATATAACTCCAAAGGCTTCAGACAATTACTCCTGTAAACAAAGTGGGCTGATTAGAGCCTTGCCATTTTATAGCCCTTAGCTCAATCACCAACCATAAAAATGTGTAAAAGAGTATAATGTATAAAAAATTTCACGCTTGAACTGGGGGTGTAGTTCAAGGGATGCCTAACATGAGCAAAGCCCTGGGTTTAATCCCCAGTACTGCAAAAACAAAGTTTTCATTCTTGTTTTCACAATATGCAATATACATATACATGATATAAGCATACATATTTGTGAGGACGTGCATATGCATATGATTTGAATAAACAATACTGATCTTATGTAGCACTCCCCCACCCCAATATATAATATCTTAAAGAGACAGAGACTATCTTCCAGAAAAAAATACACATGAGATTTTGCTGAGCTGAAAAGGCTGTCGCTGGGTATAGGAAGATGAGATGTGAAAACTATGATCATTCTTCAAGCAGATTCCTGCTGTCAGCTCTTTCTAATGAGCTCCCCCTTCCTCTGTGCTTTGTGGACAAGAGTTTCTCAGGTTCTGTCAACCAGTAAGTAGGTTGACTGCACRGAGCCCCACTAATAAAGGAGAGGAGTGGCCTTGTCCAGTGTTATGGAGGAAGTGTCCAGGCAGTTCCTATTGTTATTCAGTGAATTGCTTTTCAGGGGCCTTRGACCTCAGCAAATTACTTGCATTGTTTTGAAATCTCAACTTGTCTCAGTGTGGTCAGCTCCTCCACCATATGGCACAGTCAGCAGATCTGTTGACTTAACTCCAGTGGGCACTCAACCGMTAAATCTAAATTGTTGAAGCCTTTTTGCACTTGCCTCTCAATAAAGGTTTAGAATAACTCCTCCCTTGTGACTCCGTCACACAACTCTAWGGATGTTCAATTGGAGAGTCATTCAAGATACTGCCCACAAATTAATAAATAAAATGGAGGCCAAATGGACACAATGTTGGTGTTTTGGTGTGAGCAAATGAATAAGTGCAAGGAAATCCTTCTGTTTCCTCTTCTCCATCTCCATACCCCACCTCCTCTGAAAGCTAATAGGTTTTACTGGCCTTACAAATAGTATGGGATTTCTGGGACTATGCTATGTATATAGGCTTATCCTCAAATGATTTTATGAACTATTTTGATAACTCTACTCAAGTAATGGTATCGAATAAAGTGTAGAACCACATTGGGGGAGGAGAGACAGAAGGATGTTTTGGGAGAAGTAAACACTTCTCATTTCTGGAAAGGAACTCTAATTGAGAGCCAAGTTTAGAAAGAATACAGTAGAAGGATSCACTGTCTCAGAACTTCTATTAGAGGAGAGGACCTGTCTCCTCAAGCTACTACCAGCTTCATTCCTAGGTGAGTTTAGGATCTRGAAACTGCCAATCTAGTAACATTTTTTACATAAACACATTTCTGGCCTAGCTGCTTAGGTAAGCAGACTTTCAATAAATGTTTGTTGAATTTTCTGTGGTCCGAGAGAGGTCACTACTAGAAGAGTGACTAACAAGAGTGGGCAAGTGGGTAGAAGTCAGAAGGCGGCACTTCATCCTTAACWATTAATCTTAGATGTTAATGGTTTGTGTACAAGCTCCTAGAGTTAATTTTCCATCCAAGTATCAACCAGGTCTGACCTGCTTAGCTTCCAAGATTGGGTGTGGTCCAGGTGATAGGACCAGAGAACCCACAGATAATCCTTGATTATCGGATCCAGAAATATTCTCCTCTCCCTAATCCCAAATGCAGGGCCTTTGGGGATGATCATTCACAATTTGCTATAATTTGAAGGCAGCTAAATCTTTCAAGCACCTCCTTTCCCATGGGAGGGGAGAATTGGGAACATACTTAGTCTCTCTGTGGCTTTAAATGATTCACTTCTACAGAAATTGACATCAWTCTTACAGAATCAGCCTTGGATAAGCCAGGGACATCCCCTAAATTCCTTCYATATTTCTTATTCTAGCCTGAACCATCAAAGCTGCTCTGGGCTGAATTTGCTATCTTGGAATTCTTGAATTTTTATTTTTATTTTTATTTTTTAGGGGAGGAGTACCAGGAATTGAACCAACCACTGAGCAACATCCCCAGCCCTATTTTGTATTTTACTTAAAGACAGGGTCTCACTGAGTTGCTTAGCACCTCACCATTGCTGAGGCTGGCTTTGAACTCGTGATCATCCTGCCTCAGCCTCCCAAGCCACTGGGATTACAAGTGTGTGCCACTACACCCAGCCTCTTGAAACTTTTGATTTTGTTATTGCACATAAAGGTTCATAGCATGTCTTTGGGGGAAAATTCATGAGACAACATTTAATATTAGTAGTAACAGGAATATTTAACCATAAATATTGTAGTGATATTAGTAATAGGAATATCTAACCACTCCTTTCAGGGAGAACTCTGGAGTTCTAAAGCTGGGTGACAGTCATGCTCAGGTAGTTCAGTCCAACATGCTCCATCCCTGAGGGTTATATGCCATTGGAAAAGCT